GCCGGGTTGGTCCAGTAGCGCCCAGAGCGGCGCTACGGGACCAACCGGCAGCACCCCAGCTGCTGTACCACAGGCATCCGGAGCAAAGCCGCGGAGCACGGGGGCAGCGGGACAGCCCAAACGCGTCTGGGCTGTCTGCTGCCTGCGTGCTCTGCGGCTTTGCTCTGCTTTGCTCCCCGTCTCCCTGGTCTGCAGACCAGGGGGACGGGAAGCAAAGCCGTGGAACATGCGGGCAGCGGACAGCCCAGATGTGTCTCTGCCCGTGTGCTCCGCGTCTTTGCTCTGCTTTGCTTCCCTTCTCCCTGGCCTGCAGACCGCTGTGCTGCCCACGTGCTCCGCCGCTTTGCTTCCTCTCCCTGGTCTACTGGAGACCAGGGAGACGGGCCCCGTTCATAACTGCGGATCCGACGTAAGTCGGATCTGCGTAACTCGGGAACTGCCTGTATATTGCCAATATGTAGCTGAAGTTTTGTGAGGTTAGTGGAGAAAGAAGCAGAAGCGATATTAGGTCCAGTAACATGGATCTCAAATCATGTTTATTAGTAATAATTAAACATTTTAAAATTAATTTCTAAAATAGAGGAAACTGGCTTTAAAACCACTAATATTGAAAGGGAGATAAGGTGCAGATCCAATGTAAGTAAACTAAAACAAGAAAATTACAAGTGAATTCTCTCAGGCCTTTTCTAACTGTTCAGATATTACAGCACTCCTGTTGGATAAGGGTTCCAGAATATGGGTCATGCTGCATAACATCAGGCACTGATCTGAGAGACATCTCAGAGGCAGGTTGTGACAAATTCAGGACAGAGCAGCCTTAATTCACATTCCCCTTATTTTCTTTTTTTTCCAGGTTCCGTAATGGATATAATTGTGTTTAATTTTTGGATTATGCAATTTTTTTCTAGGTTTTAAATTAAATATAAGAAAATAGATGAAATCGAAATCTAGTTGAACATATGTGAATTTTTTATAACTTTGTTTAGTATACTTAAGGAGGTCTGTAGGGAAGATGGATTTACTATCCTGGAGGCTAAGTAGTTTAACTTAATCCTGAATAGACAAACAGATTCTCTCACCATGGACCTAGCATCTGGAGCTGTCAACATTTATTACTCTGAGGATCAGATGAGACAAAATTATCATTAGCCTTCATGGAAAGACCACAAGAATTTTTAGAAAGAAATATTCTTGACAGCACAAATCAAATAAAGAAACAAACACATTTTGTTTGGTTTTGGCCGTAGGTGGGAGAGGGTGGTGTGTGGACATTTACAAGTGTTTGTTCATATCTGTATAGAAACTCATAATTTGACTACAGCATTATAGTGGCATTTTTAGAAGCTATTTACATAAATCAGTAAGGAAACTGAATAACATCTTGTAATTAATTGAGGTATGTTGCGTAGAGGACAGGCAGACAGCTGTATGACTTACATTCTTCTGTAAACAACCAAGCTGATGCACTGTAGATGTAGTTTGTCTGTTTCCATTATGAGTAGGCTGTGCTTCTTGATCATGTTTTGGAAGGGGAAAAAATAACTGGTTTCAGGTTTACTTTAGGATTTAGGTCAACACTTTCAAACATGTGTGTCTCAAATTAGATGCCTAAATCCATATTAAACACCAAAAGTGAAGTGACCCGGCTACAATTGAAGTCATCTGGTTCGCTTGAATTATGGGTTTTTTTACACTCTCATTCTCTGCGATGGCTGAAAGTTCCAGAGAACTTTGAACAGACTGGGAGCCAACATGCCATACTTCAACTCAAAAAATAAAAAAAACCTCACTGTATAATCATTTAAAAATGACCTTTTATAATGAAACCTCTTGTGTAATCTTCTCCTTTGGTGTGTGTCTGCCTAAAACAACAGAAAATCAGGGGATGCAGCTGCTGAACTACATATCCCAGAACCCCAAATGCCTGGGCTCAAGGGGTTAGGCTAGATGATTCTTACGGTCCCATCTAACTTGATGATTCTATGATTGACAGTATTATTCCTCTGAAAGGTAGAATGTTTAAAAATATCCTTCTCTCTCTGCTTCCACCTTTATTCTCCCTGTTTAATTCCATAGATTCCAAGGTCAGAAGGGACCATGAATATGCCGCCTCAGCTGCTGGGAGCAGTATCATGAGTAGCTCTGTGAGCTCTCCATGCTCAGGAATGTCAAAGCAGCACAGCTTCTTCCCCTTCTCTCCGCAGCAGCACTCTGCCTGCCCCAGTGTTCCTAGTGTAGGGCAGACCAGGAGTACTCCAATGATTTGTTCTTTGGTCCTCATTCAGCTGTGGCTCTGAGACCTCTGATGCAGCTAGTAATAATGGGCATAGAGTGTGCAGTGTGGCAGATCCCCAGTGGAGCTGGGTTGATTTGCACCAGCTGAAGGTCTGACCCCATGTTGATAGCCGTGTGTTCTTAAATAAAGAATCTCAAGGCAGCTCCCCCTCCTACCTGTACAAACATCTCAGTGCTTGAAAGCATCAATTCAAACTTCACACTTACCATTACGTTTGCCTGGTTTGACAGATTGGGAAATACATTTATGTGAAAGTTCTCCACAAAAGTTGGACATCATTGCTGAGAGAGAGAGAGAGAGAGACTGTGGTATGAGGCTGAGGATTACAAGGTTGGTGGAATTCTGAAATGGATCTCTGCATCACCAAACCTTGGCCCTGGATTCCCACTAAACCTATTCTGATGTTTTGCTTCTTCAGATTCATGTTGGGTTACCTTAGACCAATGGTGGGGAACCTTTTTGGGTCAAGGCCCACTGACGGTCAGAAAAATCAGTTGGGGCCATACATAAGTGAGAAATAAAACACAGCCCTCACTGACCTGGCCCCCAAGTGAGAAGGAGGGGAAAAAACTCTCACAGATGTGGGCCCCAACTGAGAAGCAAGAAAAAAAGATGGTCCCCACACGCCTCTCAAGTTCCAGCTTCACAGAGGTAGGGGAGGCACTGAGGCTCAGGGCTTACCCCCAGGGCCAAATTAACTCTTCTGGGGACCCAGAGCTTGTGGCTTTTGTGGAGGTCCTCTAGGTTCTGGGGTGGGGCCAGAAATGAGGGGTGCAATGTGTGAGAGGGGGCTGCACAGAGCTGCTTCCTCCCACATGCCAGACAGAGCCTGC